GCAACTCTTGTGTCAAGCCTCAAGCTTGCTCTTCTAGGCAGTGTGGAGTCTTTTTCAACCAACAATGGAAGACTATTAAACACAGACAAACAAATATAACCCATTCACCACTGCCACTCTAAGCTGCTACAAAACTGGCAGACAGAGCTATGGGTCACAAGGCCTTAGAATCTAATGCCAGGGACTCAGCTGCTCCCCCAAACTTGTTTAATCTCAAATGGCACAGGAAAATAATGAAAGGTTGATTCTCAATCCAAAATACTATCTTGTACTAGTGCCTAGTATAAGGATGTAGCTGGAAAAAGCTTCTCTAGGGTTGCTGTGAACCGATTTTTGCTGGATTGTCCATTAATTCCTGAGTACTCTCAGCTCATGAGAATGTGGAATCCAGGGTTATATTACAACGACCTTACAGTCTACCCTCAAGGTATTAGAGCTTATGATTTAAAATTACACTTACCTGGAGACCAGAAAGTTTCTGAGACCTCCTTATGGAGACTTACAATCACTAATGTCCTTACATACTTCTCTTGCTTGGGTATTTCTTTCAAGATACCTGAATCCAGCAGATGAACAGATAGGAATGTAATTTCTCTCAGTCACCTGCTTTTTCCTAACTCTTGATTGAAAGAGGAAAAGGGAGTCTATAGCTTTTGAAACATGTATATGCTTTTTAAAGTGTTAGATTCACAGGACTGAGGAAATTGCAGAGTTCTATATACATCCCCCTCTCTACCCCCACCATTTCCCCTGTAACATCTTGCATTAGTGTGGTACCATCTGTTATAACTAATGAACGAATATTGATACATTAGGTTCATTCTTCATGTTTTAAAGTTCCATGGGTTTTCACAAACCCCAAATGTCATGTATTCACCATTAGTTTCACACTGAATCGTTCTCCCCATCCTGAAAATCCCCCTATGTTGCCTATTCATCTCTCCCCTCTCTCCCCCAAACCCCTGCTAACCGCTAACCTTTTACGTAATAGACATTTTACTAATTTCTATAGTTTTACCTGTTTAAAAAATGTCATATAGTTGGAAATATACAGAGGATGCACCTTTCTCAGATTGACTTCTTTAACTTAGCAAAATGCATTTAAGGTTCCTCCATGTCCTTTTTTTTTTTTTTTTTTTTTTCAGACTGGATGGAGTCTTGTTCTGTTGCCCAGGCTGGAGTGCAACGGTGAGATCTCAGTTCACTGCAACCTCTGCCTCCTGTGTTCAAGTGATACTTCTGCCTCAGCTTCCCGAGGGGCTAGGATTATAAGCATGCTCCACCATGCCTGGCTAATTTTTGTTTTTTTGTTGTTGTTTTTTGAGACAGAATTTTGCTCTTGTCACCCAGCCTGGAGTGCAGTGGCACGATCTTATGGCATGGCAACCTCTGCCTCCTCAGTTCAATAAATTCTCATGCCTCAGCCTCCCAAGTAGCTGGAATTATAGGTGCCAGTCACCACACCCAGCTAATTTTTGTATTTTTAGTAGAGACGGGGTTTCACCACATTGGCCAGGCTGGTCTTGAATTCCCAACCTCAGGTGATCCGCCTGCCTCGGCCTCCCAAAGTGCTGTGATTACAGGCATGAGCCACCGCACCTGGACCCCAATTTTTGTATTTTTAGTAGAGACAGGGTTTCACCATGTTGGCCAGGCTGGTCTTGAACTCCTGACCTCAGGTAATCTGCCCGCCTTAGCCTCCCAAAGTGCTGGGATTACAGGTATGAGTCCTCCATGTCTTTTCATGACTTCATGCTCATGTCTCTTTATCACTAACAATATTCTATTACATGGGTGTACCACAGTTTGCTTATCTATTAACCCATTGAAGGGTATCTTGGTTGGTTCCAGGTTTTGGAAATTAGGACTAAAACTGCCATAAACATTCCTATGCAGGATTTTGTGTGGAGTATCAATTTCTAACTAACTGGGCAGATATCCTGGAGTACTGCTGGACTATATGCTAAGACTATGTTTAGCTTTGTAAGAAACTACTCTGTCTTCCAAAGTGGCTGTACCATTTTGCATTTCCACCAGCCATGAAGAGGAGTTCCTGTTGCTCTACATCTGTATCAGCAGTTTTTTAAAATTTTAGCCATTCTAGTATGTATTAATATGTAGTACTGGCCGGTCATGGTGGCTCATACCTGTAATCCCAGCACTTTGAGAGGCCAAGGCGGGTGGATCACGAGGTCAAGAGATCAAGACCATCCTGGCCAACATGGTGAAATCCCGTCTCTACTAAAAATACAAAAATTAGCTGGGCATTTGGCATGCACCTGTAGTCCCAGCTACTCGGGAGGCTGAGGCGGAAGAATCACTTGAACCCGGGAGGTGGAGGTTGCAGTGAGCCGAGACTGTGCCACTGTGCTCCAGCCTAGTGGCAGAGCAAGACTCTGTCTCAAAAAAAAAAAAAAAAAAAAATAGCAATGGAGATTTAGGAGGAATAGTCATTGAGGAGGAATAGCCATTGAGGAGGAAAACCAAGATAGAATGGTGTCTTGGAAGCCAAGAAAAGACAATGTTTCAAAGACAGCATGATCAATGTTAAATGGGCTGACAGGTCAAGTGAGGTGAGTACTGAAAATTGAACCCTACTTTTAGCAATGTGGAATTATCAGTGAGCCTGAATAAAAGGCTCAAGAGTAACTGGGAGGAGATAAAGGAAAGGGAGCACAGGAAACTCTTTTGAGGAGTTTTTCTATAAAGGGAGGCTGAGGAGTGGGACAGTATCTGGAGGGGATATATGGTCAGGAGGAGTTTTTTGGGGCTTATTTTTTTCTTTTTCTTTTTCTGTTTTTTTTTGAGACAGAGTTTCACTCTTGTTACCCAGGCTGGAGTGCAATGGCGCGATCTTGGCTCACCGCAACCTCCGCCTCCTGGGTTCAGGCAATTCTCCTGCCTCAACCTCCTGAGTAGCTGGGATTACAGGCACGCGCCACCATGCCCAGCTGATTTTTTGTGTTTTTAGTAGAGACAGGGTTTCACCATGTTGACCAGGATGGTCTCGATCTCTTGACCTCGTGATCCACCTGCCTCGGCCTCCCAAAGCGCTGGGATTACAGGCTTGAGCCACCGTGCCCGGCCTCTTTTTCTGTTTTTTTTTGAGACAGAGTCTCACACTCCCACCCAGGCTGTAGTGCAGTGGTGCGATCTCGGATCACTGCAATCTCTTGCCTCCTGGGTTCAAGCAATTCTCCTGCCTCAGGCTCCTGAGTAGCTGGGACTACAGGCATGCACCGCCACACGTAGCTAATTTTTTTGTATTTTTAGTAGAGTGGGGTTTCACCATGTTGACCAGGATGGTCTCGATCTCCTGACCTCGTGATCCACCTGCCTCGGCTTCCCAAAGTGCTGGGATTACAGGCGTGAGCCATCGCGCCTGGTCTATTTTTTTCTTTTTTAAGCAAGAGAAACTACAGGATATGTTCATATTGATAGGAATGATCCAGAAGAGAGAGACACTTAGGAAACAACAGCAGAGGGTGAAGCTGTTTGAGATACAAGATGATTTCTTTTTTTTTTAATTTCTTTTGAGACAGAGCATCACTCTGTCTCCCAGGCTGGAGTGTGGTGTCCCGATCTTGATCTGGGCTCACTGTAAACTCCGCCTCCTGGGCTCAAGTGATCCTCTCACCTCAGCCTCCCAAAGTGCTGGGATTATAGGCATGAGCCACCACACCTAGTCTAGACGATTTTTAATAGTAATGAAGACATAGATGTGGCTTCTATTATTGCAGTTTATTGCCTATCATAATAATTGATGTAAACACAAACTTTTGATGAGAGGTTAGTAAAAATGACATGCAATTTTTCTTCCATCTAAGTTTATGAGCCTCCCTAGTTTTAGGGTATGATTATGAGAGTATGTGGCTGAGGTAGAGTGGATGACAAGACCATTGGAGGAGGGAAGGTGAAGGAACTGAGAGGCTAGGGTTTTGTGGAAATCATGTATGTGGACAGTGAAATCTCCAAGAATTCTGAAACAGCAGTGGTCCTAAAGCAAGTGACAGTAAGCTGGGAGCTCTTGTCATTTGGCCTCCACCTGAATGAATGCTGCCTGAATTAGGGTATTCCCAATGCATGAGGCAGCTTCTCCTACTTCTGGATGATTGTAATTATAGGAAACTTCTTCCTTATTCTAAATTACATTCTATCACCTAATATTCCCCATCTTGCTCCTGGCTCAGCCCTCTACAACTATTCAATCCCACTGACTTAAGATAATTCTTGAAGCAGTCTAGACAGTTCCAAATGTTCTCTTTTCTAGGAAGAACACTGTCAGGTCTCTCAACCATTCCTTATACACCATGGTTTCCAGTACTTTCACTATTTGGTTGTTCTCTTTGGGATACACTTGATTCACTGTCTTCCTAGGGGTGACAGTCAGTGGCATGATCTTCCACTTCCCTTGTGCTATTCAAATCACTATGGCAATTAATAAACACTTTATTTTGCCAAGATGGATGTGGGTACAACATTGTTACTGAGCGACAGCAAAACATCTTTTTTTTTTCTCTTTTTTTGAGACGTAGTCTTGCTCTGTCGCCCAGGCTGGAGTGCGGTGGCATGATCTTGGTTCACTGCAACCTCTGCCTCCCAGGTTCAAGCAATTCTCTGTCCCAGCCTCCCAAGTAGCAGGGATTACAGTTGCCCGCCACCATGCCCAGATAATTTTTGTATTTTTGGTAGAGATGGGGGTTTCACCATCTTGGCCAGGCTGGTCTTCAACTCCTGACCTCATGATCCACCCACCTGGGCCTCCCAAAGTGTTTGGATTACAGGCGTGAGCCACCGTGCCTTGCCAAAACATTTTATACAAGTTATAAAAAGACGTTGGTTTCTTCTTTATAATCTGCAGTCTTCTCCTATCCCTGCTAAATTCACAGTGATTAATGTTATGGCTGTGGAGTTACTGCCAAGAAAGAATATTACAGTGTCCATGTTTCTAACACATGGCAGAAAATACTATGAATTACTGTGTCAGAAGGAGTACTTACGAGAATATCGGTATTTTCAAAATAATTCCTCCAGTATGGTCTGATTTTCCTCTGTCCACCAATGTCCCATACATTCAGCTTAAAACCTTGTGATTGTACACTTTTGATGTTGAAACCCTGAAACAGGGGCAAAAACATCAAGTTTTATTAAACTAAGATCATAATTCTGACAAAGTTATATTTAATCGCTATGTTTTTTATTAATTCTAAATTACTCTGCTATATGTGATACTGGTAATGCTGAAAATGATTTTTTGTGACAAATAATAAAGAACCATCTTTATACATGTTCATTTCATCCAGGTTGTGGAGTCAGTGTAAATAATGTCAGGCTAACATGATGTTTTTCTACAATGAACATATGTAGACATATAATCACTGAGGATAACTCTAAATGAGAATAGATCTAATTAATCAACACACACCACATGCCCACGAATCTTCAGGATTGTAAAATTTAACAGGACATTTCATGTAACTAACAAAAAAACAAGCTGAATCTGAAGACTCAACAGAAAAGAACACAAGCTAAATTTAAAGAGGCAAAAGCTAAAAATCTAAAGGATTAGATTCTTCAAGAGCAACTCAAAATAAATTTCCTCTTTTTTTTTTTTTTTTTTTTGAGACGGAGTTTCACTCATGTTACCCAGGCTGGAGTGCAATGGCGCGATCTCGGCTCACTGCAACCTCCGCCTCCTGGGTTTAGGCAATTCTCCTGCCTCAGCCTCCTGAGTAGCTGGGATTACAGGCACGCACCACCATGCCCAGCTAATGTTTTGTATTTTTAGTAGAGACAGGGTTTCACCATGTTGACCAGGATGGTCTCGATCTCTTGACCTCGTGATCCACCCGCCTCGGCCTCCCAAAGTGCTGGGATTACAGGCTTGAGCCACTGCGCCCAGCCATAAATTTCCTATTGGAACTAATCAGGAAAAAGAGAGCAGAACTGAGGATGCTATGGGGGAGGCTGGATTTGTAACTCCAATATCAGCCCAGTAGGGAGGTGGAGCCCTGGGTTACAGACACTGATGGAAACAAACAAGTGGTCACTTAAGATTGTGCTTTCATAGACAACTCTGATGAACTTGAAAAGGAACGTCTTTTTTTTTTCTTCTTTTGAGACACAGTCTGGCTCTGTTGCCCAGGCTGGAATGCAGCAGTGCAGTCTCAGCTCACTGCAACCTCCGCCTCCCAGGTTCTACTGCCTCAGTCTCCCGAGTAGCTGGGATTATAGGCACCTGCCATCACACCTGGCTAATTTGTTGAATTTTTAGTAGAGATGGAGTTTCACCATGTTGGCCAGGCTGCTCTCGAACTCCTGACGTTGTGATCTGCCCCCTTCCCAAAGCGCTGGGATTATGGGTGCAAGCCACCACACCCGGCCAGAAGTCTTTATTTCCAAGACAGTTACTTGAGGTGAAACTTTGAGGAAGGTGAGCTAATCAGGGACATGCAGAATTGCTGGCTGGTGGTTTAGTGTGAAAAGAAACAAATTAACAAGCACTTTGGGGTTCTGAGAGAATGTATTTCATGAAGAATTTTTTAAAAAGTCTTCTTGCAAAAGTTACACAGGGAAACCAGGATTTGAAAGACCCAATCAGCAGCTTGCTACCATAGAAGACATTTCATCCAGAATAACTGCAGTTAGATAGGTTTGGGGATGCCTCCACAAACATTTGTTTCATGTGGCAGCCTGTCAACACTGCTGCCTGGCACAGAAGGAGAAGGCACAGTGCAATAGGACAGGAACATTGCCACCCAGTTTCCACTGAGGATACACAGTCTCTGGAGGATAATGGGGGATGCTGCTGACTCTCGCTTCTGTAACATGCCAATGACTGAATACATTAGAAACTCAAGAATTTTAAAGGGAAATGGCTTCAGCTTATTAAAAAAAGCAGTTTCATTGTGACTCATTGGCAAAACTACTTTGGTGTATTTAAACATTTCACACTCAATGATATTAAATGTCAAACTCAGTAATACTGAATCCTTTCTGGAATAAAGCAAAAAATAAATAACAGTAAAACAAATCTTGGAATTTGACCATATGTATCAATGGCCTTTAACATCTATAAGTCATGAGACCCAACAAATCTAGGAATTTATTCTGAGGAAATAATAATAATGAAAGGGCACAAACATGTAGAGATGTATATTACATACGTATTTACATATACAATAACATAGAAAGATATTCATGATGTATTAAGTGAAAAAGATGAAACAAGCTCAGTGGCTCACACCTATAATCCCAGCATTTTGGGAGGCTGAGGCAGGAGGACAGCTTGAGCTCAGGAGTTCAAGGCCAGCCTGGGCAATGCAATGAGACCCCATCTCTACCCCAGGAAAAAAAAAATTAACCGGGTGTGGTGGCACCTGCCTGTGGTCCTAGCCACTCAGGAGGCTGAGGCGGGAGGATTGCTTGAACCCAGGAATTTGAGGCTGCAGTGAGCTGTGGATGGTGTCACTGCACTTCAGCCTGGCCAACAGAGTGAAACCCTGTCTCTAAAAATATATATATGAGATACAAACTAACATATCCTCTATGAGCCATTTTTATTTTTTATTTTAAATATACCATCATATATATGCATAGAAAAAACTTGATACATTCCTAAATGTGAACAGTTGTATGTCTGATTGGGCATTATAGGTCACTTCTAGTTTCTCAATTTTATTTATTTATACATTCTAAATTTACTACAATGAGCATTTATTATTTTTTCTAATATGAAACAAAAACATAATAAAAGTTTGTTTCTAAAGAATCTTGACACAATATAATATCAGAGTCACCTATAATACACTGAATAAAGCCTGAAGATTAGAGTTAGAACTTTGGGTTCTAACTTTGAGTTTATTTCTGTGTTTGCAGAGTGGAAATCTTCCTGTTAATGTTCTTGAGAGATACAGTCTATCACTAATACAAACAATAATAACGACAACAAACCACAGGTGCACGCACACAAAAACTAGCACTTCTTTTTCTGGCAGAAATCTTGACACACTAATCTGTGTTTTTCAGCCCTTCTGGGCTAGACTACTGTAATTTGCTCCTCCTTGGGCTATACATTAAATTTGTTCAGAAGCCGTAAAATTGTTCATTTGGTAGCAGTTGAAATGACTTTTCCACAAAGAGTTGTGAATCAGTAAGACTCACAGCCCGTGAAGTATGCACACACGCCAGCACAGCCATTCAAACCTGACACCAGGGTCTTATCACAGTACAGTGATGGAAAATGCTAAATAACTCTGGTTTTGCTAAAACCTCTAACCTTTAATGCTCAAACACTTTAAAGTGACTAAGACCAACAGGCTGTCCCTGTTGGCTCAGCCAAAGGTCAAGCATTCTCAGGATTTCCTACAGGGAATGAGGTCTAAGAAGCCCACTAGAGTTTTTCCAATCAGGACTCGTCTTTAATCCTCCACACTGTGAGCACCGTCATTGCCTTATCCTTTATGCTTTGCTTGCTTGGCCTTTTCCGGAAACAGGAAGGTTGATGAGGCTGGATTTAAAAAGGCAGGTAATTGTTTTTTACTTAAAAAATTGATACATATTTGTATTTATTAAGTCTGAAAAGTATATGCTAAAATATTAACCATGTTTGTTTGTTTGTTTGAGACAGAATCCCGCCCTGTCACCCAGGCTGAAATGCAATGGGGCAATCTTGGCTTACTGCAACCTCCGCCTCTTGGATTCAAGTGATTCTCCTGCCTCAGTCTCCTGAGTAGCTGGGATTATAGGTACGCCCCACCACACCTGGCTAATTTTTGTATTTTTAGTAGAGACGGGGTTTTATCATGTTGGTCAGAATGGCCTTGAACTCCTGACCTCATGATCTGCCTGCCTTGGCCTCCCAAAGTGCTAGGATTATAGGCGTGAGCCATCATGCCTAGCCTTAACCATGATTTTTTTCAGAGTTTTCTCCTTTATACTTTCTCTGTGTTTTCTACATGCACTACTTTCATAATCGGAGAAGATAAAGCTGTTTTTAAAAAGAATAGGCTGGGTGTGGTGGCTCACGCCTGTAATTCCAGCACTTTGGGAGTCGGAGGTGGGTGGATCATTGAGGTCAGGAGTTTGAGACCAGCCTAACCAACATGGTGAAACACTGTCTCTAAAAAAAATTTAAAAATTAGCTGGGCGTGGCAGCACACACCTGTAGTCCCACCTACAGGGGAGGCTGAGGCCTGAGAACTGCTTGAATCTGGGAGGTGGAGGATGCAGTGAGCCAAGATTTCGCTACTGCACTCTAGCCTATACAACAGAGTGAGACTCTGTGTCAAAAAATAAATAATTTATTAATTTTAAAAATTAAAGTAAAAATAGAATATAGGTAATCACTTGGATCTGTGGGATTTGATTGTCTATATATACACACACACATATATATGTATACATAAATTTTAAATTGTAACATAACATGTACCATTTTAACATTATAACATAAAACGTTCCATTTTAGCCATTTTAAAGTGTGCAGTTCCATGGCAAAATTAAATACATTCCCATTGTGTGCCGTTATCCACAAGACTATTTTCATCTTGCAAAACGGACTCTCTGTACCCGTTAAACAGTAACATCCCATTCCCCTCTCCCCAGCCCCGGTAATCACCATTCTGCATTCTGTCTCTATGAATCTGGCTACGCTAAATACCTTATGAGAATGGAATCTCTTACATGTTTTTGAAATCTGGTTATTTTTAGATTGTATACACTTTTCTCAGAGACAAAACTTGGAAGTGGACAAAACTGTACTTCCCGTTTTGTCTTTCACATTGCTATTATCGTCTTCCTTGCATCACACGGCATCTGGAGCCAAGGCAGTGCTCACCTGTGTAGGTGTGATGTGGCTGATGTCTTCAGATGCAAGCTGCTTCAGAAGAGTGGTCTTGCCAGCATTATCCAAGCCCAGGAGAAGGATTCTCACCTCCTGGTCTGGTGCACTTTTCAACTTGCGCAAAATTGAGAGTAAGCCCTTGAACAACCATGAAGGAGACAGATTACTTTGGGGGCACTGACTTTGCTATTACTGGATATCAGAATAGCTTCTTGAAAGAAGTTCTTGGTTATGGAGAGCCTATGTTATTATTTTTCATTCGAATGCCATTTATTCCATTTGCTTCCTCTTTCCAAGTTTTGGTAGAAATCCTAAATTAAATCAGCAACTTAATAATAGCATGGCTTATTCCTGCTCCTCCTATTATTCCAGCTTAGCAGTCACCCCAAATCTCCTGGGAGTGTGAACTCTACCCCATCTGTGTTCCTAAAGCCCTTTATATATAGAGTAGGTAACTGATGTTTGTATTATTCTCCTTTACTGAAGTTTCTTGTGGTAAGGGCTACACTTCTCCCATAATGGCTAGCACTTATTAAACAGACACTAGATAACACCTGTGGAATTAAATAGTATGACACACCCAAGTTAACACAAGATTTTTTCTTTTTTTTTGAGATGTAGTCTTACTCTGTTGCCCAGGCTGGAGTGCAGTGGCACGATCTTGGCTCACTACAACTTCCGCCTCCCAGGTTCAAGCAATTCTCCTGCCTCAGCCTCTCCTGAGTAGCTGGGATTACAGGCATGTGCCACCATGCCCAGCTAATTTTTGTATTTTTAGTAGAGATCGGGTTTTACCTTGTTGGTCAGGCTGGTCTCAAACTCCTGACCTCATGATCCGCGCATCTCAGCCTCGCAAAGTGCTGGTATTACAGGCGTGAGCCACCACACCCGGCCACACAAGATTTTTAAGGCATTATACAAAAATATATAAAAAGGCTATATAAAATTAGAATTGGGTTCTCTGTTTATGATTTTATCTATTTCATCCTTTTCCATTGCATGCCTGTATCAAAACATCTCATGTATCCTACAAATATATACATCAAGGAGCCATAAAAATTAAAAAGAAAAAATTAAAAAATTTGTTAAATCTATTTTAGCACAACTGTAAGACTTCTTCATTCAAAATGTTCTACCATCATTTTTCACAAGACCCTATAGGACAGGTGTATGATATAGATTATCTCTGTTTTTTAGATGAAAAATTTGGTACAATAGAGAAGTTAGGAAATCATAAAAGGCACCTATGAAGGAAAAAAAAAACCCACCAAAATCAACCAAGGAATGTTTTACTGTTAATCTAATATTTCTGTTTCTTGTTTCATTATTATTATTTTTAGACAGAGCCTCGCTCTGTCACCCAGGCTGGAGTGCAGTGGTGTAATCTCGGCTCAACTGCAACCTGTCTCCTGGGTTTAAGCAATTGTCGTGCGTCAGCCTCCAGAGCAGCTGGGATTACAGGAGGGAGCCACTATGCCTGGCTAATTTTTATATTTTTGGTAGAGATGGGGTTTCGCCACATTGTCCAGGCTGGTCTTGAACTCCTGGCCTCAAGTGATCCACCCACCTTGGCCTCCCAAAATGTTGAGATTACAGACATGAGCCACCTCTCCTGGCCATTATTTATTATGTTTTTATGGATAGAAATAAACCATGTTGCTGGGCATAGTGGCTCATGCCTGTAATCCCAGCACTTTGGAAGGTTAGGGCAGGAGGGCTGCTAGAGCCCAGGAGTTCAAAACCAGCCCTGGCAACATAGTGAGATGCTGTCCCTATAAAAAATAAAAAACAAATAAGGCAGGCATGGTGGCACACGCCTGTGGTCCCAGCTACTCAGGAAGCTGAGGTGAGAGGATTGCTTGAGCCTGGAGGTTGAGGTTGCAGTGAGCTGTATTTGCACCACTGCACTCCAGCCTGAGTGAAGAAGTGAGACTCTATCTCCAAAACATAAAAAAATTAAAAAAGAAATAAACCATGTTGATTTTTAGTTAAGAATGCAAGACAATCTTTATAGGAAAGTTATTTGTTCTGTGCTATAGCTGACAATCTTGTTCTAACAACACATGGCTAGAACAAGAGTTAAAGAATCCCAAAGTTTAAAGGGCATATAATTCAGTCTCCCAGCTCAAGAAGAAATTCCTTCATACTGAGTCTTAGAATTACGTAAAATGGTTGTATTTGTTATTCACACTGCACCAGGCAATAATTCAAACCAGCTTGTTCACTAAGATCAAACGATACTTCTGAGAAATAATTCTCAACAACTGCATCTTTGGACAATGATATGCAAATATGCATAATTATTAAGAATACCTTTCTGCCTCAGAGACTCTTTACCACTTCTCATACTGTATTTGTACTGACTTGCTAAGGATCACATTAACCTCTCTATGCCTCAATTTTTTCCAGCAGTAAAATGGAGGGTTTAGTCTAAGCTAGACAAATTCTATGCCAAAAGATTTTGGGGAGAAAGATTAAATAGATCTGAAACAAACAAAAGTCCGGCTTTTTAAAAGGCCAGACTTTTTCTTCTTTCTTTTTTTGTGGGGGGAACAGGGTCTTCCTCTGTCACCGAGGCTGGAGTATGTGGCTTAAACACGGCTCACTGCAGCTTCAACTTCCTGGGCTCAAGCGATCCTTCCTCCTCAGCCTTTCCAATAGCTGGGACTACAGCTCATGCTGCCATGCCTCGCTAAGTTTCGTATTTTTTGTAAAGATGGGATTTTACCATATTGCCCAAGCTGATCTTGAATTCCTAAGCTCAAGTGATCCACCCAAAGGCAAGACTTTTTTTTTTGCTTTTTTATCTCATCTGGTCTTGAATATTTTTGACACCATTCCTTCTTAAAACTATATTTACAAGAAGTCTCCCTGGTTTCTATTAGCTATATTGCAATCACTCATTTATAATATCACCTTTCAGAAAAGTAAAAATTAAAATTCTGAGATCCTTAGGGGACTAGTTATATAAAAAGGCTAAGAACAGGAAAACTCATTTTACTACTCATCTTGAGTTCCTGATTGTAAGTGAAAAGAAGGGGCCTCATTACTTCTTAAATTCTAAAACAGCTGGAATGTATCAAATTAGTACATTAAATGACATATAGGCAAAGTTCTTCTCATGCATTATCTGATTATCTGCTTGTGCAGAAATTATAAAGGAAGATCTGTTTTCTTTTTCTTTTTCTTTTTTTTTTTGAGACGGAGTTTTGCTCTTGTTGCTCAGGCTGGAGTGCAATGGTGCGATCTCGCTGACCGAAGCCGCTGCCTCCTGGGTTCAAGTGATTCTCCTGCCTCAGCCTCCTAAGTAGCTGGGATTATAAGCATGCGCCACCATGCCCAGCTAATTTCGTATTTTTAGCAGAGACAGGGTTTCTCAATGTTGGTCAGGCTGATCTCGAACTCCCAACCTCAGGTGACCGTGCCCAGCTTATAAAATATTTTCAAAGTTTAAAATTAATGTTTTGGGTTTTTCTTTTCTTTTCTTTTCTTTTTTTTTGAGACAGAGTTTCGCTCTTGTTACCCAGGCTGGAGTGAATGGCGCGATCTCGGCTCACCGTAACCTCCGCCTCCTGGGTTCAGGCAATTTCCTGCCTCAGCCTCCTGAGTAGCTGGGATTACAGGCACGTGCCACCATGCCCAGCTAATTTTTTATATTTTTAGTAGAGACGGGGTTTCACCATGTTGACCAGGATGGTCTCGATCTCCTCGTGATCCACCTGCCTCGGCCTCCCAAAGTGCTGGGATTACAGGTGTGAGCCACCGCGCCCGGCCTAATGTTTTGGGTTTTTCTTCATGTGTCTCTTTTTAAAAAAATCACTAACAATACTGTTTTTTTTTTTTTTTTTTTTTCAGATAGAGACTTTCTACATACTCATTACATTTGAAATTAAATAATTAAGAGAAAAACAAGACCAGACACAGTGATTCACACCTGTAATACCAGTGCTTTGGGAGGCCGAGGCAGGAGGATAGCTTGAGGCCAGGAATTCAAGACCATCCTGGGCAACAAAGCGAGACACATATCCCTACCAAAAAGAAAAAATGATCCAGGTGTGGTGGTGTGCACCTGTGTTTCCAGCTACTCAGGGGGCTGAGACAGAAGGATGGCTTGAGCCCAAGAGTTTGAGGCTGTAGTAAGCTATGGTCAGGCCACTGCATTCTGGGCTGGATGAGAGAGCTGGATCCTGTCTCAAAAAAAAAGGTGGGGTGGGAAGAAACATAATGTTTATTCATCTTAAAAGGAGAGGGGCAAAGCACAGATGAGAAAGAAAAAGAAATCATTCTAACTATAAGGCTGAGCACAGTGGCTCGTGCCTGTAATCCCAGCACTTTGGGAGGTTGAGGTGGGTGGATCACTTGAGGCCAGGAGTTTGAGACCAGCCTGGCCAACATGGTGAAACCTCATTTCTACTAAAAATACAAAAAAAAATTGGCCGGGCATGATGTTGGGTACCTGTATTCCCAGCTACTTGGGAGGCTGATGCAGGAGAATAGCTTGAACCCGGAAGAGGAAGGTTGCAGTGAGCT